AATGTTCACTCCCACGCCCTTCATTCGTTACACAATAGACACTGGGAATTAGACTGATTTGGTGGCTGTGGTCTTGAGCACTGAGCTTTCCTGTTGATCTAAATAACCTAGCAGAATCACAGATATTCTCTGGTTCATGTTTCAGCTGCTCCTCGGTTCGGTACTTTGCCCAACAGGAGCCTCCGATCCAGGGGCACTTTCTTACTTCATCAGCTAGGTGCCACTACTCCTAAAAAGACCCCTCATGTGTTTCTAGCACACTGTCTCTCGTCAAAGATGTTTCCTAATTTCAAGTCTTTTCTGTAATCTCATGCTCTGATATTTGGGGGGGGGGATTTGATGTATTGGAGTATGTTTGGAAATTCACAAACCTAAGAGGGATGTGTGTGGTCTTTGACTATGCTCTGGAATTGGTGACTTAGATAAGGGTGTTTTTAAATTTGTTTTGTTTTTGTACTTAATTATGTGCATGGATGTGCATGTCTGTGTGTGGATATGTGCACATGTGTGCAGTTTTCTGAGGTGGCCAGAAGAGTGTGTTGGGTTCTTTGGAGCTGTAGTTACAGCGGGCTATGAACTGCCTGACATAGTTTCTGGAGCCAAGCTCAGGTCCTCGGCAAGAGTAGGAGATGCGCTTAATCATTGACCCACAGAGAGCAGGCGTTTTAAGTCATCATTCTGCTCTAATCACAAGACAGAAATCAAACGTTCCTGTTGTATACCATTTTAGAGAAAAGAATCTTCCCATTTATACAAAGATACCTTGAAAGAGGGAAGAAAAATAAACTCACCACATGTGAATCTAGGAAGCGCAGTCCCTAAACAAGCAAAGAAAACAAGCTGGCATGAAATGATTTAACAGCTCCCCAGGGAGGCTATCTACAGAATGGGAAGTGTTAATCAAGGAAAACAAGACAATGCTTTATTAAAAAGCAAGGAGGACTTCCAAACTAGACACGGAAAGTTCTTTTAACACACTTGCAGAGGCAAAGGGTCGGGTTCTGCCAAGTCTAGAGTAATATATGTTTAAATTATTTACATGCCAAACTGTGAACTCCTATAGCATGAAACTTAATGATTCTCATTTTCCTTCTGGCTGATTTTTTCTAGGCCTCCCCACATGGAATCTATGTACCCAAGTCAAGGAGAAAATGTCATGATCCTACTTAGGATTGTGAAGTAGTCAAAACTAGAAAACTGTTATTATGCCCCCTTTGAATAAATGAATTTTCAATCAAAGCTTTAAATATTAAATATAATACAAATCTCCCTTGAATACATTATCAATTCTTTCTCACATGCTCCTAAGTAATGCAATTCCATTAACAAATGTAAAATAATAATAGCCAATAATGGCATGCTCTTTGCCAGGAACTGTGCTAATATCTTATGTAATTTGCACAACTTCTCACTCAAGGGAGTTCCACGATCGTGACCATTTTGCAAATCAGTCAGATGAACTTTGTGTGCCACTGGTTTGGAACACATTTATCAGAGCGTTCTGAAGCATCTACGAATCTTCGCATACACATGAGTATGTGTGGGAAAACACAGAGCAGTACTGTTTGTGGTTCATTTTATGGGCTCTTCAATTGCATCACAGTGCATATATCAATGCTGAAATTGGCATGCCCCCCCCCCAAAAAAAAAAAACCAGTTCCCTCTCATTCTTTTTCATTGTTGCCTAGTGTGATGGAACTAGTGTTCTCCTACTGACAGGCAGAAAGGTCTTTATTCAAATTTTTTTACGGATATAAACGGCACTATTAATGGGCGTCTTGTGCAAGCTTCCTCGTGCATACATGCAGCTGCCCACTGCATACAAGCTGTAGAAGTGCGGGGTCACGTATGTTTATTTAAACTATGTATGTTCAAACTTCCATGCAGTTGTTTATCACTGGTATTCGAACACGTAGTTTCCTAAAATCGCCCAATGTCTGATTTCACCAAATTTCAAGTTTTTGCCTCTCTAATGGATGAAAAATGGGATTGCATTTTAATTTGCATTTTCCTAATTACAATAAGCAGTACTAGGTAACACCACCCAACCTGGTAGTTAAAATCACTGAGTGAAAGGAGGAGCACATAAAATGTATATATCCACTAAACGTATTATTTTACTTTCAGATACCAAGGTGGGCATTTCCTTTCCCATCTTTTGCCACAAGGGCATGGCTTCTTCTTTCTGTGAGGAAGGACCTCTGTATCCCCTTCATTGACCGTGTCCTCCATGCACAGCTGAGATTCCTGTTTGGTTTCTTAAGCGAAGTGAGAAAGTAAAGACCTTGTAAAAGAATCTGAACACTGAGTTCAATTAAACAGCGAGCTTTGAAGAACCCACCTTCATCAAGACTGTTCAAAGCATTCCATTTAAATTTCACTCTAACAGCTCTCTCTACCCTGGTGTTTCACTGGCTTGCATATTATTTAACTAAATTACATAATTACAATGACATTCAACCAGCACAAACCGGTTTGAGAACCAGCACACCTCTGGCTCTTGGAAACAAAATCAAATGAACAAAAAAGCACGAGTGTTTTTAGAGAGCAGCCCACCAGAGGCCTAGGCAGGCATGCCATGGGGGCAGTGTCCATCAGAGACACATAGAAAACTGTTGTCTCTAACAGTCCGGATGATGGAGAGCACCTTTTTGTAGACCTCTGACCCTATATGTTCTACTGTGAGCCACTTGGTCTATTCGTTTATCTATTTTTCTCAGAGATTGCCCTTTTCTTGTTCATTTAGAGGTGTATTTTATGTGTCCCAGACATGGGTCCTCGCACCATTTATCGACCACAAATGTTTTCTCACAGGCCTGCTCTTATCTGTTACCTCCGTCTTGCAGCTATTTTCTTTTACAAAAGTCTTTGACTCTGGTTTCAGGAAACAAGGTTCTCTCTGTACAGCTTTTGTTATCCATGCCACCATTAACAAAGTCTCCCTTTGCCAACCTTATATAGCTTTCCCTGTATCTTCTCCTAATACCTGAATGATTTCCAGACACATTCCAGATAAAGAATTCCAGAAGTTTAAGGCCAAGCATTTCAAGCTAGAAATGGAGAATCTGGAATTCATGTTGACATTTGTGGGTAAATAATCTTTTTGATGGTTAAAAAAGAAAGCAAATCAATCTGCTAGTTCACCTTAAGAAGGTAGTGAGAAGCAAAGTGAAATATGCAGATGTAAAGCAATGGCGGAAATCGGAATTAATGTCTGCCTGAATTTAGAGTTCATCTATGATGGGCGTGAACGCAACTCATTGGCCATGGAAACTGTGACCAAAAAATGCTCAAATGACCTGATAGTATAAGCATTTATTGAGCAACTACTGGGCAACATATAATGCTAAGACTAGACACTGACCTAGAAGCATATAGCATACTAAGAGATAACTGGAAATCACTTCTACCTTTGGAAAGCAGCTTGCTCATTTCAGAATCAAAGACATCTATCTCCTCCCCATTCTCACACAAATGTTTGCACACTGGACAACTGCCAATGGCAGTACAAATCCTTATCATCTGGCCAAATATAGGAGTGGGGGTTGTCATGGGTCACACAAATCAGCCAGAATGAGCACAAATGTCTCTTTTCCGGAGTCTGTTTGGCCTGCACAGGACACTAGTGCTAACTCGGATCACAGGACTGACCAGGACTGGCCAAGGCCAGGCTGTCCAGGCCAGCTGCTAACATCAGTGCTCAGATCTATAGATCGAATCCAGACTGTATTGAGCAAGGGGAACTCTGCTGTTCAGTAAACACGAAGCACGATTTCTCACCTACCCAGGTCTTTGCTTTATCTTCTCATAGTAAAACTGGCAATGAACAAACTCCATGTAAAAAGTGTGATAACACCAACTTCTACTTTCTGGCCATCACCCCCTGTCCATGGATTTAAGAACTGCTGTTAGAAAGCTAAATGCCATTAATGAAATAATTCATTATCTAAGCTCTTCTCAACAACCCCCCAACCCCCAATTTGTGGTGCTGCTGATGGAAGCTGGAGGACTCTGCCTGTCCCAGGCAAGTGTCCTTCCACTGAGCAGTCCTTTATTTCCGCTACTTAAAACATAGGATAGTCACCTGCTGACATTTAACTATTTAGGACTGTTGGTCACGTGCTTAGAAGAGACTGAAGGAAACAAACCCACAGCCTCTAACAGCCACTAGAGTCTGACGAAAAATGACAGCCGCGAGTAGCGGCTGATACTGTGTCAATCCCTGAGCAGATGTCACCGAGGAATGAAATACGTATTAGAAAAATACATGTCAGTGGAGCAAAACTACTTTATGGCACACCAAATTCTAAGAAGAGCAATATGGACAAAAACCATCTCATGCCAACGCAGCTGAATAAAGGCACATTCTTAACTATTTTAATCTCATGAAAAATCAACTAATATGATAACTGCCTAAATATTCTATAGAGGCGGGTTGCTGGGGAAAGATGTGTATAGTGATTCATAACAGAGCAGGGAGCTCCCTACCTTCCTATCACTACAATTCTCATATTAACTCAAGTGTGTGATACCTTTAACAGCAGGAATGTGAAGAACGGGCCTATTCTATGTGAAGATGGAGACCTATTTTAGAAGAATGCGCTTTCCCTTTGAAAGGCAGCTTCCTCCTTACAAGTGTCGAATAATGAAACTCCACTATTCGTCCTGACCTGAATATGTGTGAGGAGGCAGAGGGCAGACGGTCCAACCCCAGTACATCTCAGTCCTACATTTTTTTCCTCTCCCTTCAGCTTCACTCTTAGAAGCATTAATAATTTTGCTGTGCTCTCCCTGGAGCATTTCTTATCAGGATTAAAAAGGGACCTATTCCGAGACAAACAGGATACAGAGTAATGGTGTCGCTTCCAGGCAAGCTAAGAATAGCTCCAGCGTTTTCAAGAAATCTTGCGCCAGGGTGTAAGCCTCAAGTCAATATGGGAAACAGGGTTTCTTATACTGGTCACCACAAATCACTGTTAAAGGAGAGCATCAGTTCTTACCAGGTTTTCTTGGTTCCTGGCTGCTATTTTCTGCTCCTCTTCTGCCCCGTTTTTCATGTATTTGACCTCTTCCACGGGTTTGATCCTATACTCATCTGAATGACAAAAGAACAGAAGGAGTTTTACCACAATGGCAGAGAAGTGCCAGCAAAGCCAAAGCCATACATCAGACTCTTTCCCTTGTAGCCTTTACTTGGGTCTTATCCGGAACAATCTGGAAGATGCGTGCACAGGCATCTTGAGTCCCTTTTAGTAAGTCCCGTGTCTGCTGGAGGGCCCAGTTCTCCAGTTCAGAGAAACCCCGTGTGCCCAGACCTTACATTGTGAGCAGACACTGAAGAAGAAGCAGGCTCTTCCAACTCCGAAAGCCGCTGGAATCCAGACACATTGGGAAACACCACACATGTGGAGAATGGCCTCATTTATGCCCAGGAGATTCTGTCCAGAACGCCTGTGTAACAGCGGTTTTCAGCTGGACGGTCACACCTTCACTTTTTTCTCTTTTTGAAAAATATAGTACTATTTATGACTACAGAGTTGTACCAATACATAAAAATCAGTTGGAAAGTGATTTTTTTTCTTTTTAGTGCTCTTCCATTAAATTCAAGCAGTCTACAGTTACTGCACATCGATACCTTAAAATCTCGATAAAGTTGCATGCACAGAGCCAAAATATCAACTCATTCTAAGTGGGCTGGTAAGGCCCCAAGGCTGGGTAGTGCAGAAGGTTGTAGATAAAACTGTGACTTGTGTGACAGCCAAGAGAAGAGAACACAGATCTCAATGTCAGCATCCACCATGGGACAAAACTGGGAAAGCCAGAACATCCTTCTCTAGATCTGGCGATGGCACAGGATGACATCTTCACCAGATTCCTGTCAACAGGAAACGACTTGGGTACATTAAGTTAAAAAAACAAGTATGATTTTGACTCATCTTTGGTCCAACTTGTGGGCGGGGGGGGGGGAGGTGGAGAAAAATCTCAGAAGTTATGGAATTAGAAATTTTCATTGGCAAACTGCCTTGCAAACTGTATGGAGTCACCTCCAAGAAAGAGGGCTGTCTATCACTGAGAAAGTTTGTATTTCAAGCTAAGAAGCTGCAACATGTTTTCCTATGGCCGATGACTGAGAACAATGACTATATTCCTTATCAGTGCCTTGTGCTAGTATTTGTAGCACAACCTTCTAATGTAGCTGCAGCTTCCCCATCTGACCTCTTAACACAGGATTTCCGAAATCGAGCTATAGGAACGTCCAAAAAACCGTGCTTTGTCAAGTGTTTCTCTCCCACTTCTGAAACTAATGTATTTGCATATATGTGTATAAAAAAGACCCAATGTTTGTGACTAATCCATCTGTGGTTTTCTTCTAGGTGGCAATTCAAGGTAGATGTTGATTCTATTCATACTTTATTTCTATTGTATGTTTGTGCATGAATTCGGTATGCACATGTTTTGCATTTACATGCATGCATGCAGAAGCCAGAGGTCAATGTCCTGGTGTCTTCCTGTATCACTCTTTTTTTTTTTTTTTTTTAAAAAAAAAAACAAAACAGGGTCATTTGCAGAAAATGGGCTTAATGATTCAGTTATACTACCTGACCAGCAAGTCCTTGGGAAATTCCTATTTCTGCTTTCCCAGCAGTGGGATTTCAGGGGTACACCTTCTCACCTGGATTCCTACATCTGTGAGGAGGATCTGAACTCAGGTCCTAATGCTTGTGTGGCAAGCACTTTACCTATTGAGCCATCTCCCCAGCCCACTTCTCCTTCTTCCTTATGAAATTGGAGAGACTTACATACAGTTACGGCAATGGAATTCCCTTCAGGAATTCCAAGTCTAAAACTGTCGAGTTAACAGATAAATTTGAATCTATAAGTACAAAGTAAAAGCATTTCACAAGCCCGATATGATGACCCATATGTACAGTCCCAGTACACGGGAGACTGAGAGGGGAAGATTTTGATTTTGAGGCCAGCCTAAGCTACATAGTGAGTTTGAGGCCAGTCTGGGCTACACAGCAAACACTATCTCAAAATTTAAAAAAACAAAAAGGAAAAAAAAAAAAAACCCACAAGAGAATCTCATACTCTGATTTGCCATTCAGATGAAAAAGGAAGTTAATACCAATACACTTAATTAAAGGTTTGTTTACTCATAAGTTGTAGAACCATTTCTAATTTAAACAGGACAGATATAATTATGTCCCTGGTATAATCACACAGAGGTTAAAATGAAGGTGAAAGCATAAAAATTAAAAAGAAAACAAAAAACAAAAAACAGTGAGCATCCCAACTTTGGTTTGAGGCATTAGCAGTTACAAATCATGGCACAATGACATAATTGCTATGGTTTATCTGAACCAATGCACGCTTAGATGAGCCTTCAATTATTAAATATAACAGATTTCACAAGCTGGTAGGCCCCACACCGTCCCACAGGCCCACAGGCCTCATGTAATAGGGCAGAGAAGATCACACATCACTATAGGGCACAAGCAGAGAATTCTGAAAGAGCAGACAGTCTCTGCACCCTACACAGCTCAGGTGTCCCCCAAAAAGGGTCACCCTTCTACCCCTGCCCACTAGCTCCTCCCATCTGGCCTGCCACACTCAAGTAGAACCACATTCTGCGCAGTGTGGGAATCACTCTTTATTTCCTCAGCCCTCTAGGGATCACAACTGAATAGAAAGTAACAGACAAACTATTAATATTTTTCTCCAATGAAATGGAAAAGCTCCTGGTGACATAACTTTCAAAAGAGCATTAGTGCAAACATGGGCCTTTTTCTTTTCTTTTCATCAAGACAGAACTCTGACCAATTTAGACTGCAAATAGGTGACAGAGTCATTAACAGTCCGGCTGGCTCGCCAGGGCATTGTCAGGACAATACAATGTGACTGAGTAACAAAGAGCAAGAAAACAAACATCTAAGACTACAAGCTTGGCCTAGCATCACTACTTAACACGCAATGCAAAATCCATCCTGGCATAAGACAGGAAGTCAGCGGACCCTCCAAGAAGCCACTACTGAAATCCAGATTTCCTTTTGTTAAAGACATAGGGGAGTTAATTTTTTTTGTTTTTAACCTCAGCTTCCTTTTATCATAAGCCCACATTGGAAGACAACACCAAGGCAGAGCCCCATGTAGGGCGGCAGAACCATGCGGCCACTCGATGAAGAGCAGAAGCTGGGTTGTCTTCCTCCCTCACACCCGATTGCTTTCCCTTCTTCCTGTTGATCACGTCAGGTGGCTTTTTAGAATGCAAGTCAGGAGCACAGGCCAGCTGTTCACCCCCTAAACAGTTTCAGGCTTCCAGTCAAAATAGATCTGTGGTGGGATTTTTAGCATCTCATTGAAGATAATGGCAGAAGGGGGTGGGGGTTGTAAGGGTAGCAGCCATTGATGAGAAGGAGAAAAAGAAAAAAAGGGTGTCAAGGTAGGTGCAGACTTTCAGCATCTTGGAAAACAATGGTGAGAGCCCTTCTTAGCTGGAGTACACTTCCCAGAGGGCTTCTGGCTTTCCTCCTCCTCCTATCATGCCTGTGAAAACTCTGACTTTTAATAACCCTGGAATTAGAAAAGCACTTATCTCCTTCTAATTGATTACAGTCAGGGTGGGTTTTGTTTGTTTGGTTTTGGTTTTTTGCTTTGTTTTGAGATGTTTAATTTGCTTTCATTATATGTGTATGTGTGTTTTGTCTGCATGCATGTCTGTGCACCACATTAATGCACAGAAGATGGCATCAGATCCACTGAGACTGGAGTTACAGAGAATTGGGAGCCACCATGTGGGTGCTGGGAATGAACTTGGATCCTCTGGAAGAGCAGCCAGTGTTCTTAACTGCTGAGCCACCTCTCCAGCCCTGAAGCCGGGTTCTTAAAATTATTATTACCATCTGTAAGCCCTGGGAGACAGCAGTGAGTGCTTGAGGGATGGCACAGAATCTAAGAAGGGCCAATCCAGAGCTGGAGAGGCGGAGCAAGGTCACAACAAACACGACTGCTCTAGCCAGACTCCAGTGCTCCTTGTCAATCTTTAGTCACTGTCAACCATTTGGAAGTGTGAGTTTGGAAGCACAAAGATGTGCATGGGAGTCAAACTACTAACCTTTTCTAACAAGGACGACTGAAAGTAAACAGCAATAACACATACCACACATTCTCTCACACAACACACACACACACACACACAATACACACACCTGCAACACATACAAAAATACAAAGATACACTCCCTTCAAAACTCAAAAATGCAACATACTCTTACACACAAGCACACACATATTTATATACACACTCAACACACACACACACTCGTATGCACGCACGCACGCACGCTTGAATGGTCCGCACGTAAAAGCTCATGTCTGCACAGAAAATACTGAAGAGATGGTTTTCTTTTCAGCTTCCCCCCTGGAAGCCCCTTGAACTTAACAGAGCTGACCCAGGTCACAAGGAGTACAGAAACCCTCACGGTAGGTCTTGGGAGGAGAACGTCTTGCAGTGTTGGGGGAGAAATGAGACATTTCCTCTCCTGATCCTGGGCAGAAGGCTGGAGCTGAGCCAGCAATATAAGCAGGCAAAAAGCACGTTTGCTGTTAAACAGCCTCCTCTCCAAACGCCTGCCTTAGCTCTGCCACCTGCAAGTGTTTCCCGCCCTAGCCCTCTGCTGCAGCATCCCCGAGGTGTGTCTCGGGGCCTTTTCTCAAACTTTCTTTTCTGCCCAGTGGAGGGGTTATTTTCAGGATCTTTGGTTGGTGCACTCAAAAGTGTACACACAACATAAAGGGAGAAACTGAGTCTGGAGGCGTGCTAAGATGGGAGTGGCGAAGGCCACGTACACAGCCTCTGTCTTCTTGGGGCTCTGCTGAGCCTCTCTGAGCCCTGGGTTACTGCTTTGGGTCACATTTGGAAATTTTTCATCAGATATACTACACAAACTCAGTTCCTTCTTTTCTGGCTCCTCCTCGTCACCTCCCATTCCCTCTTCCCTTCATATGGGAACCCAGGCATTTTAACTTTTATACATAACTCTTGTATCCTTCATGTTTTGCAGCTTATCTCTCTTATCATCCTCTTCTCTAAAA